CAGTACTGAGGGAGTGCCGCACTGTCAGAGGGTCAGTACTGAGGGAGGGCTGCGCTATCAGAGGATCGGTACTGAGGGAGTGCCGCACTGTCAGAGGGTCAGTACTAAGGGAGTGCTGCACTATCAGAGGGTCAATACTGAGGGAATGCTGTACAGTCAGGGGATCAGTACTGAGGGAATGCTTCACTGTCAGAGGGTCAGTACTGAGGGAGTGCTGCATAGTCTGATGGTCAGTACTGAGGGAGTGTAGCACTGTCAGAGGGTCAGAACTGAGGGAGTGCCACACTGTCAGAGGGTCGGAGTGCCACACTGTCAGAGGTCAGTACTGAGGGAGTGCTGCGCTATCAGAGGGTCAGTATGAGGGACTGCCGCACTGTCAGAGGATCAGTACTGAGGGAGTGCTGCACTATCAGAGTGTCAATACTGAGGGAATGCTGTACAGTCAGGGGATCAGTGAGAGAATGCTTCACTGTCAGAGGGTCAGTACTGAGGAAGTGCTGCATAGTCTGATGGTCAGTACTCAGGGACTGCCGCAGTGCTAGGAGGTTTGTACTGAAGGAGTGTTGCATTTAAAGATGGATTGTGTGTCCCACCTGTGCAACATACTCATGGCACTTTTGGATGATCAGCAGGGGAGTTCATTTTACATAATCAACACCTAAAAAGAAACACTTTTTGGTCATTAGCAAATTCCTGTTTGTGGGAGATTGGTGTGCACAATTTGGCTGTCTCAGTCCCTTTGTTAGAACAGTGACCACACTGCAAAAAAGGTTGTAAAATGTACTGGAATATACCACAGCTGAAAGGTATTACTATAGCCCTCTGAAAGAAACATGGCAAACTAAAATCTCAGCAATAAATGTCACAGATTAAATTTGAAGTTCATTGGCTCGTTGAGCTGGTTTGTTGTTCTGCAGACAACCGACATGGAACGAGCCATCAACATCAGCCGACAGACCACGAGAGCCAAGAAAAGACAGACCCTGCAAGACAAGCTAACCACACTTACCCACAAAAACGACAACAACAGAACTGACACATGGATAAGGAACCTCTCCGACAGGAAACTGACAGTCGCGGAAAAAGCCGTTCTCACCCGGGGACTGAACTACAACTGCAGGGACGCCAACAAACTGGAAGCCACACTCAAGACCAACAATATCAACGAAGAAACACAACAAACTATAAGACAGACAGTATTCCCGACACTAACCAGAAAGAGGGAACTCAACACCCTCAACACACGGGAAAGACAAGCCCTGGACAGATTAAAGAAGGACAAGAACATCACTATACTACCTGCAGACAAAGGGCGCATGACAGTGATAATGAATAAAAAGGACTACATCTCCAAAGCACAAGCACTGCTCGCCGACGAGAACACATCCCGGCCAGGACAAACTGACCCGACACCGCAACTAGGCAACAAAATCCTATACACGCTACAAAGACTTAAACAAACAGGACAGATCAACAAAGCAGACTTCTTAAGAATGAAACCCAAAGGAAACAACACACCCCGATTCTACGGCCTCCCTAAAGTGCACAAGCCGGAAGTCCCCCTCAGACCCATAGTCTCCCTACCAGGCACTCCATCGCACAGATTAGCCAGGGAACTACAAAGAAGACTCAAGCACCTAGTCAACAAATCACCCCACTCCATCCACTCAGCCCAAGAATTCCTCAACTCCATAAAAGACATAAAGATAGAGGACGAAGAGACCATGATATCGTTTGATGTCAATGCCCTATTCACATCAATAGACATACCACTAGCAAGGGAAACAATGAAAACACTACTTGAACAAGAACACGACCCCAGTGAAACCATCTCCAAGGACAACATGCTTAAACTACTGGACCTATGCCTGACCATCCACTTCACCTTCAACGGCCAAACATACGAGCAAATCAACGGGACACCCATGGGATCGCCTATCTCTGGACTCATAGCAGAAGCAGTGATGCAAAGACTGGAAAGGACTGCCCTTCCGCAAATCCAACCTAAACTATGGATATGCTACTTAGACGACACCTTTGTCATCATTAAATGGACCAAATTAGAAGAGACACACAAACTCATAAACAACACCCTCACCGGAATAAAATTCACCAGAGAGGAGGAGAAGAACAAACAACTCCCATTCCTGGACGTCATGATAGAGCGCAAGACAAATGGGGAACTGCAAACGAAAGTACACCGAAAAGCCACACACACAGACCAGGTATTGAACTTCAATAGTAACCATCCCAGCACACACAAACGAAGCTGTGTGCGAACACTATTTAAAAGGGCAACAACACACTGCAGCAACATGGAACTACGCCAAGAGGAGGAGGAATACCTCTTCCAAGTGTTCAAGGATAATGGATATCCAAAGAACTGGGTCAGGAGATGCCTACAGGAACAGCATCAGAAAGATTCTACACGCCCCGACATACTCATCACACTACCCTACATCAGGAACACGTCAGAACTCACCACAAGACTTCTATGACCGCTGGGCATCAGAGTGGCACACAAACCCACATCAACCCTACGACAAGTGCCCACCCGAACTAAAGACCCACTCCCCGCCATGGACAGGACCAATGTCATCTACAAGATTCCCTGCAGAGACTGCGAGAAACACTACATCGGACAAACAGGAAGGAAACTAACAGCAAGAGTACATGAACACCAACTGGCTACAAAAAGACACGACCAATACTCACTCATCTCAATCCACATGGACAAGGAGAACCACGACTTCGACTGGGACAACACCAAGATCCTGGGACAGGCTAGGCAGAGACAAGCACGAGAATTCCTGGAAGCATGGCACTCCACGAAGCAGGCTATTAATAAACACATTGAACTCGACCCCATATACATTCCACTACGGAGGAAACCCGGAAGTGAGGCAATCCATCGCAACGGACCCCAGAGTTTGAAAACCAGGCGGGAAAACACACCGACGCTTCATCAGAGGCTGCACTGAGGATGTTACCAAGCATGGTAACGAAACGTCTGCAAAACAACAAACCAGCTCGGCGAGCCAACCAACCTCAACACCCACAACCCGAGCTACAGATCTACTTCAAAACCTTACAGATCAAATTTATAATATTCATTTTATTTTGGTACAGCAGCAGATTGTTTCTTGAGTCTGATCATTGTCCAGAGTCACAATCCAGTGTCTGTTGATTCTATAATTTTAGTTAGGAAATTGGAGTTGGAGAAATGACCAAAAAAACACTTTTTTTTAAACATCCCTGTCTGGTTCTTTTCATTTGAGTTGCACACAGCAATGATTTTGTCATCAATTCCTGGATATCACAGGCCTATCCGCAAGGGGTGGTGACATTATATTGAAAAAAACCAGGAGTGAAAAGAAAAGGAAGCTGTACAGAAGTCAGGATTCAAAGTTCATGGTGCTTCATGCTGAACTGAGGCGCAGAGTGAAATTTAACAAACATTTCAAAATTTATTAGAAAGCGATAATACAATGCAAAAGAACAAAGTCCAGTCGATTATCATGTTAGAGGTGACAGTGAAACAGTCGCAAACAGGTTTGCTTTCATGAAATAATTGGCAGCATCTCGGTCATCGATTCAGTACTGGGCAGCTGGTGAGAGACTTGCAGGAATTAATCCTCATCTGGGAAAGAGAAGGAGCAGGGGATTACAGATAGAATATTGCCACTTATTATCACTTGCTTTTAGATGATGAACGGGATGTGAGACCTGGATGCAGGTCTTTACTCACCTGTGCTCGCGCCTTTCCCACGGCCTTCGCTGAAATTGCTCCCTACGCCACGCCTGTCACTATTGCCAACATAGTGAATAGGTACAGCACTGGGCCAGGACAAATACTGTGACTTACATGACCAACTCCTGCGTGCACACACGGACAACACACACAGACCATTAAAGGAGAGTGACGGTGAAATACAAACACACACACACAAATCTTTCCCCACAGCCCAAACCACTGGGCGTATGATTTTGCCAGCATTAGATGCTGAGTGACTGCTCAAGACTCCTCCCAGTTATTCACCCCGGCTGCACTTCCTTTTGCATTGATTTGGGGCCGTTGAAATGGACAACTTCCAATGGGTTTGTTGATTTCCATAAGTCTGCCTGACGTGAGATTCATCCCAGTGAGTTCGAGAGTGATTCTCTTGGATTCCCCATCAGTTCCCAGTGGGATTCACCTTTAAGGAACACAATTCCTGTGTGAAATGGCATTCCATTGAGTATTGGCAAACTTTGGCTAAAAGCTAGATGGGTCCTTGTGTTGTGGGGGAAGCTGAGAGCAGGCTGGGAAGCAGCTTTCGAGAGGCGAGGGCTTTACCCAGCTGTTTTACTCTCCCGTGCCATTAAAATCCCTCTTCTAGGTTTGTCAACCGGTGATCATCAGAATTAAGGGTTGGGGGTCAGAATGTCTGCATTCAAGGTTGCTGATCTCAATAATGAATTCAACAACTTCAGTAACTGACCACAGTATGGGTATCTTCCATTTTTCTTGCATTCTCCCAACTCCTCCCCAGCAGCCAAGTTGTGTTTGTGTCTTGTTTACTTTGCAGTTAGTAGAGAGCACCCGTTCTCTTTCCTTCCCACCTCAATTTACCCCCATTTTACATCTCTTCTTTTGTACACTCTTAACAACCCTCTGTCTTTTGCATTAGGACTCTGACCCCCTTGGTCCTCCTCTGCCACTGTCAATAGTATCAAAATGTAAACTATTTTGCAACAGCTTTCAGGTTTGAACAACAGCCACACTAGACTCAAAATGCTAACTTTGTGTCTCTCTCCACAGCAGCTGCCAGACCTGTTGAGTTTCTCGAGCACTGTCAGTTTTTAGTTCAGATCTCCAGCATCTGCAATATTTTGCTTTTATTATAAGTGATCACCTACGCTGTGACCTAAATGACCTTCACTGTTTCAAGGTGTACCATCCTGACATTCGCGGTTTCTCTTCATATCCATTGTCCCTTTTCCCCAATAAGTCTCCTTTGTATCCTTTCTAACGTCTCATATTCTCCTTGAAGCATCTTGAATTGTCCGCAATACTCTAACCTATGCCAATCTCGCTGGTTATCACATTTTTCATTCTCTGTCTCTATTTCTTTCAACCTCTGGCACTTTTAAGTTGAAGAAACCATTTATAGAGTAATACAGCATAGATCTTTTGTCCAATTCCTTTTGAAAACCTCTCCTTATAGCTCATACCCTCTAACCCAGGCAGCATCTTGGTAAACCTCATCTGCACCCTCCTCAAAGCCTCCACATCCTTCTTCGTTGTGCAACTCCATCTAGTTTCTCAGCCGACAGCTGCGTGTTGCAATCTCTTGATTCCTTTGAACTCAGAGGAAGGGGAACAAGGCACAGGATTTGGGCTGAATGGAGGTGAGTGGGGAGGTGTAGGGGCTAGCACTGCTGCCTTACAGAGCCAGGGACCTGGGTTCAATTCCAACCTCGGGTGACAATGTAGAGTTTGAACATTCTCCCTGTGTCTGCATGGGTTTCCTCTGCATGCTACAGTTTCCTCCCACAGTCCAAAGATGTGCAGGTCAGGTGGACTGGCCATGTGTTTTGAAAACCAAAATGTACAATCTGAACTACATCACCTCAATTAAACCAACCCTCTATACCCTTTGAAATGAACAAATGAAGGCCTGAATGCAGTAGACCTATAAGGGGCTATTTGAACACTAGAATTGAATTATAGAATCCCTACAGCATTGAAATAGGCCATTCTGCCCATCAAGTACACAAGAACCTTCCAAAGAGCATCACACCCAGACCCACCTCCCTACCCTATCCCTGTAACCCTGCATTTATCATAGCTAACCCACCTAGCCTGCACATCCCTTGACTTTGGGACAATTTCACATGGCCAATCCACCTGACCTGCACATCTTTGGACTGTGGGAGGAAACTGTAGCATGCAAAGGAAACCCATGCAGACACAGGGAGAATGTTCAAACTCCACACACACACCCTGGAATTGAACCCAGGTCCCTGGCACTGTGAGGCAGCAGTGCTAGCCCCTACACCTCCCCCTTCATCTCCATTCAAGGCACCAAACAAACCTTCCACAAACAACAGGGGTTCACATGCACATCGTCAACTTGGCCTACTGCATCCGCTGCTCCTGCTGTGGCCTCCTCTACATCGGTGAGACCAAGCAGAGGCTCAGAGACCGCTTTGTAGAGCATCTGCGTTCTGTTGGTGACAAACGACAATACCTTCCAGTCACGAACCACTTCAACTCCCCCTCCCACTCCCTCGGTTACATATCCATCCTGGGCCTCCTCATGTGTCACAATGACGCCACCTGGAAACTGGAGGCGCAGCATCTCGTATTCCGCCTCGGGATCCTACAGCCCAATGGCCTAAATGTAGATTTTACCAGTTTCAAAATCTCCCCATCCCCGGCCTCATCCCATGACCAGCCTTCCCTCTCATCCCCGCCTTCTTGACCTGACACAACCTGTCCATCTTCTTGCTCACCTATCCGCTCCTCCCACCTTACTGACTAATCCCTACCACTCCCTACCTGCACTCGCTTATCACCATCCCACCTACCTTCCCCAGCCCCACCCTCCTCTCTCTATTTCTGAGCTCCCTCCCCTCTCCCCATTTCTGAAGAAGTGTCCTAAGCCAAAATGTCAACTTTCCTGCTCTTCTGATGCTGCCTGGCCTGCTGTGTTCCTCCAGCTCCACACTGAGTTATCTCTGACTCCAGCATCGGCAGCTCTTAACTATCTCTGGCCACTAAGCTACTGTGTTTGTTGTTTAATTTCAATGACTCTCCAGCCTGCCATTGGTCAATCTTGAAAGTTAGCCCTTAGCTCATCCATACATTTTTCCAAGCTTTTTCCAACTCTCTCCCTCTATTTCATCAACTGACAACTTATCAGGAATTTAAAGAAAAAGATTCTTCCCCCTGCATTGGCAGGAGAATTGCTGGCCAGAGGACACAGTTTAAAAATGATCTGCTGAGAGAGCAGAGGACAGATGAGAAGATTTTTGTTTTTTTCACAACGTGTTGCTGTGTTCAGGAATAAAATTGTGTAAGAAGCAGATAACTTTCAAAAAGGAATTAGATATACTTAAAGGGAAAAATGCGCAAGCAAGAATAAGCGTGGAAAGAGCTGGTCGAGTTGGATTAGTCTTCCACAGGCAGCATGACTCAAGTGGCCATCTTTGGTGCAATATTGTTGTGTGATACCTTACCGGATGTTACTCTCAGTGACTCAGACAAGCTACGATGCTGAACCTGGCAGCAGTAGTTGCTTGGGTCATTGTTCTTGATGTCAATGAGGATCTCCATTCTGTACGTGGCATCATGGTTTGGCAGAACCATCACTGTAAGGTCCTCTGATACAGGCTCTCCATTATATAACCACGTGGCATTGATGGTGCGGGGATAAAAGGCAGTGATGAGGCACAGGAGAGGTGTGGACATCTCTGCAGTGGAGCTCCTTTCGTAAACCAGTACCTGGGGAGCAACTGAGGAAGAACCAGAAACAAAAGTGAAAGGCACTCTTTTTTTGAAAGTTAATGCAATGTTCACCCAACGGATCACATTCAGAATCCAGATCCAGATCACACTCGGAACTGGGATTTGGTTCGCAGCCAGAATCTGGACCAGGAACACACTCAGAAGCCAGATCCGGGGATAACATAGGAAACTGGATTGGTTCAAAATCAGAATCCGGACCACTCTCGGAAATCGGATTTGGATCGTGATCAGAATCCGGATCTCACTCAGAAATCGGATATGGATCACAATCAGAATCCAGATCACACTGGGAAATCAAATTTGTATCACACCCAGAAATTGGATCACACTCGGAATCCTGATCCCGATCACACTCAGCATCCAGGTCTAGGTCAGTCTCAGCGTCTAACTGTACTGTTCCACTTGCCTTTTCTTTCCAGGGCTGTTTTACCAGCTCGAAGTACTGTCTGGAGGCTTTCAACACATCTGGGGTTCAGCAACTGGATAAAAGTGGGATCATTCTTGAGGATATCTTCAATCGTTTTAGTCAGCAAAGAAAACACGCCAAGCCCCCTGCAACGCACTGTGAACAAGTCACATTCAACATCTCCCAACTCATTGGCGTTTAGCTTTACAAACGCTGTGGTGCTTTGGCTATTTTCCATTGTGCATCTCCAGAGGCCCTGGATGTATCGGATACCTGCGAATGATCAAGAAGATCAACCAGGTATTAATGATAGATCTGTCCATTCACGTCTCTATTAGGTGGAGCCCCTGACCCATCATGTGTAAATGTATGGTGTACGGTATGCGGCAATGAGCGATACAGAATTGGAGATCCTGACGAGAGGCTGCGGATGTACTGTTTCTCTATGGTCTCGCCAAACTGCACCTAACGCTGTCTCGAAGTTCATCTTATCCAGCAGACCAAGCTCCTACTCGATCTATCCTATTCCCATTGAGGTGCTGAACATCTTTCATACGACATAGGAGCTGCGCACGGAAATTTTAACACAAAGATTAGCGCTGAAACACTGGGAGATATTAGATCAGATTGATCAAAGTCGTGAGTTTTACGGGGACTCTTGAAGAGGCAAGTATGTCTTGATGAGTAGGAAATCCTGTCTCTAATCACCACCTTATTCCATGCCGACACACTCTGGCTCCTGGCCAGGCAATTACTTGTTGTTAAAATTTCTCTTTTGCTCTCAAGTGGCGTTTGTCTGTTTCTGTAATCTCCTCTGGTCTCATGTCAGACAAATCAAACCTCATTTATTACAAACATATGAGGAAGGAATACCAGTAGGCCACTTGGGCCCTTTCAAGCCCGCTCCACCATTCAATAAGATCATGGCCAATCTGATTTTAACCTCAACTCTACATTCCCGCACACCCTGATTCCCTCGGTACTCAAGAATCTATCAATCTCTGCCTTAAAAAATATTGAAGGATTTTTCATCTATTGACTTTTACTGTCATAAAATTTTACAGTGCACAAAAGTAGGCCGTTCAACCCATTGAAAAAGTTACCTAGCTAGTCTATTCTTCAGTCCTAGCCCTCTAAATTGTAGTTAGCACTACTGCCTCACAGCGCCATGGGTTCAGGTTTGATTCCACCCTTGGGCAACTGTCCGTGTGCAGTTTGCACATTCTCCCTGTGTGTGCGTGGGTCTCCTCTGAGTGCTCCAGTTTCTTCCCACAGTCCAGAGATGTACAGGTTAGGTGGATTGGCCATGGGAAATGCAGGGTTGTGGGGCTGAGTTAGGGTGTTGAGTCCGGGTGGAATACTCCTCGGAGCATTGGTGTGGACTCAAAGGGCTGAATAGCCTTCTTCCACACTGTAGGGATTCTATGATTCCATAAATTCATCACTTTCAAACATATATCCAGCTCTCTTTTGAAACCTCTGAAGGAATCCACTTCCACCACTCTCCCAGGCAGTGCATTCCAAATCCTAAGAACTCTCTGCGTAAATAAATTTCTCCACATCTTACTCCAACCTCCCCTGCTGACAGTCTTGAAGTTGCTGACACACCACTATTGGTGTGACTATTGAAAACAGAATATCCTTCTTAAATTGGTCATAATTTTGAATACCTCAATAAAATTGCATCTTTATCTTCTCTGCTCCAAGGAAAATAAGCCCAATCTCTCTTATATTTCTTTGTATCTAAAATCCCTCAATCCTGTTATCATTCTAATAAATCTCCTTTGCACACTCTCTTGAGAGCTTTAACATACTTCATTAAATAAGATGTCCAGAACTGAACTCAATACTCAAAATGTAGTCTGACCAATGATTTGTAGAGATGGAGCATCACTTCTTTGCTTTTGTACTCTATGCCTCCAATAATAAACACAAGGATCCTATAAGCCTTCTTAACATCTGTTTCAACTTGCCTGGTCATCTTCAGGGAATTATGCATGTGAACCCTGAGGTCCCTTTACTCCTGTACTCCCCACAAAGTTGTACTATTGAGTCTGTATTGTCTCTCCGTGTTTCTTCTACTAAAATGCATTACTTCAAAATTGTCTGCATTGAAATTCTTCTGCCAGGTGTTTGCCCATTTGGCCAACTTGTCAATGTCTCTACGAAGTCACACGGCATCATCCTCACAATTCACTATTCTCCCTAGCTTAGTTTCATCAAACTGAGTGACTTTGTCTTCAACACCCATCTTCAAATCATTTACATAAATCGAAAAATGCAAGTTTCCCAACATCAGTCTCTGGGGAACACCATTTTCAACTCATCTCCAAACTGAAAAATGCCTATCTATACCAATCCTCTGTTTTCTGCCTTTTAGCCAACTTCTAATCCATTCTGCCAAGAACCCATCAATCCCAAACGTTTCTAATTTGCTACCTAACCTGCCATGTGGCATCATATCAAATGCTCTCTGAAAGTCCAAATGTACAACATCCACAGCACTACCCTCATCCACTGCCTGTGTCACCTGATCAAAGAACTCAATTCATTTGCCAGACATGAATTGCCCTTGACAAAGTAGTATTAAGTTAGTCTAGTATTGAGTTAATTTTTTCTAAGTGTATAATTATCTTACCCCATACAATGGCTTCTGTTATTTTTCCCACTATCGATGTCAAGTTTCCTCGGTTATTCTTTGACCCTTTCTGAAACAACGGTGTCACATTTGCAATCCTTCAGTCCCAGGTCGAATTTTGTGTTCAGAAGGGCCTGGAAAATTTCTGACAATGGCTCCACAATTTGCTCTCTTACCTCTCTCAGTTATTTCGAAGAATCCCATCTGGGCCTGGCAACTTTTCGACCTGGAGTGCTGTCAACCTTTCTTGCACCTTTTCTTTACCTGTATTGTTCAACTATATTGCTCAACACCCACATTTCTAACTGAACTTATTTTGTGGAAAAGAATACCAAAGACTCACAACCCGAGGAGAGAAACATGTTTTCCTCATATCTGTCTAAATAGCCGACCTCTCATTTTTATCTACCATGCTCTGGTACTAGATTCAGACCTTTCTGGGCCTTTGAGCATGTCTGATCATAATCGCTCCATTACTGGTGACAGCACCTTCAATGGCCCATGAGCTCAAGTTCTGAAATTCCTTCCATCTCCTTCCCTGCCTGTCTACCTCATTTTTCTCCTTTAAGATTCTTCCTCAAAGTGATGCTTTGACAAAGGTATGACTACTCATTGTCAAGTTTTGTTTGCTGCCCTTCCTGTGAAGCATGGTGGCTCAGTGGTTAGCACTGGTGCCTCACGGCACCAGGGACCCAAGTCTAATTCCAGGTTGGGGTGATTCTCTGTGGTGAAGTCTGCACATGCTCCCCATGTAGGTGTGGGTTTCCTCCCACAGCCTAAAGATATGCTGGTTAGGTGGATTGGCTGTGCAAAATGCCCTGTAGTTTCCAGGGATATGCAGGCTAAGTGGATTAGGTATTGGAAATGTGTGGTTATGGGAACATGGTAGGGGGCTGGGTCTGGGTGAGATGCTCCTCGAAGGATCAGTGCAGACTTGATGGGCTGAATGGCCTCTTCCTATGCTGTAAGGATTCTATGAAGCATCTTAGGACATTTAGTATATTAAAGACCATTATTAGACTTCTGAATTTAATGCTGACCTCGCTCTTTGCGCACATTGTCTGCAGGCGTAACATTGCATTCCTTGCTCTCTGTTATGTTAAGATCTGCCTGCACTGCACACAAAACAAAACTTTTCACAGTACCTAGGTACATGTGACAATAATAAATCCAATCAAATCAAATTAGGGCTGTTACATAAATACAAGTTGTTGTTACCATATTTCCTTTCACAATTAGGTAACTGGAAAGGTGAAGAACCGTCGGTCACTGCCCCATGTCAGTTTATATCCTTGATACATTAGTGTCAACCGAATTCCATTTTGACATACAAGGGCGCACTAGGACCAATGTGACATACCAAACATTGTGCCAAATGGAGCAAGTTTCCTGAAGATGTGGTTTTGAAGTGCATCTACAGCCATGGTCTGCTCCAGCCAGTAATCCTCCATGATCTTGCTGGCCATCCATTGCTGTCTGGGCTGGGTCCGATTGAGGGAGCTGTCATAGTACTCGATCTGAAGATCATCCAACATCCCAATCATAGAGAGCTCCGGCAGGTCTGGATGCTGGGGGGCGTAGATGAAGAGATACTGCAAGGCGTGGGAGCCTGAGGGGAGATCACACACAAGGACCGTGAATGAGGGACAGAGCACCCCCACAGCCCCTGCCTGCCGGCCTCAGGACCTGATCTGCCTTTGACACCCTCACCTTCAGAGAAATGGGCAAGAAATTAACGCTCATGCAATAGGAGCTGGAGACGGCCTTCCTGCCCATTGACTCTGTCCCCTTCACCTTCAATTTCATGAAAGCTCAAAACTCTGTTTGTCTCAGGCCTCAAAGAGACTGGAGCACCCGCAACTGTCTGGGCCAGAGAATTCCAAAAATTCACCACCCTCTATGAAGAAAAACATTTCTCCTCATTTCAGTCATAAACAATCAACCCCTTTATCCTTGTCCGTGTGCTTTAGTTTCCCAGGCATGGCTGTCAGTATTGTCCTGATGGGACACTAATATCACCTCTAATTCTTTGGAACCGCAGAGAATATGATCACAATTCACTCAATTTCTTATCATAGGCCAATCCTCTGGGATCATCCTTGCAATGATGCCTTAGACAGGGAGACTAAAAGAGCTGACTGTTTTCCAGGCATGGTCTCACCAAATGCCTACAATTGTCTCTCCAGTTGAAACAAGAGAATGAGGGGTGGCTAGGGGTGCTGTTTGGGTCTGGGTTCTGAATGTCCCCTACAGGCAGGATGTTGAGAGAGGGACCTCTCTGGTTGGAGGTTGAATTTGAACTTGATGCGCCTGGATGCCTATAGAAATGCCTCGGGGGAGGGGGGAGGAATACAGAAATCAGAATGGACACTGCAACATCCCCACCCCACACACACACACACACACACAAACACTCACACACAAACAGGCACACACACACACTCACACAGAGACACACACACACACACACACACACACACACATAAAACACCATCAACCTGAAGCAAACAAGCACAGGGCTGTCTAGACTCTGTCCCCCTCCAAAGGAGAGACTGAAGAATGGGCCTTGGGTTAGAAGCACATTGAAGCAGCAAGATTGGGTGAAACTTTAAGTGCAGCTGAATGGTGCATCAGAGAGGCCTGAGTTTTAGGCCTTTGATCCAGTAGCTGGGCCTGAGCATTTGACCTGAGGCATGTAATCCGAATGTATGAATCATGAGAATTTAAACCTGTGATGCTTATGATTGAAATGTCAGCATTTCCAAACTCTATTATGCCTCTTTCCCAACACTTCAGGACATTCCTAAGTATTATCCAAAGAATTTGTAGTGCCTTCATTGTTGTAATATTGGAAAGAGGTAGCCAAATCCCATTCACCAAACACCCACAGTCAGCAATGAGGTAGAAAGAGACTCATCATCTGTATGACTAATAAAGTACAGTAAAGTCACAAAAGACTACTCTCTCATTAGAGAGACAATTGGTAGTGTTTTAACCTGACAGTCACCATATCTCACGCATGGGGTGAAGTTAGAGATAGCACAGTGTGGAGCTGGAGGAACACAGCAGGCCAGGCAACATCTGGAAAGCTGACGTCTTGGGTCGGGACCCTTCTTCAGAAATGGGGGAAGGGGCAAGGATCTCTGAAATACATCGAGAGAGAAGGGGTGCAGTTAGGCAGCAGTGACCTCAGCGGGCGCAAGAGCTGAACACACACTGTTGGTGTTACTCTGGTATTGCAGACCCAGCTATCTAGCCAACTGAGCTAAGCAACCCCATTATATATGAGTAAGATCTGATTATATACGAAAGCTCTCCCTCTTTTTCTCCACTGTGTCTGTCACTCAGGGCCATCCCAGAATTCCCAGGTTATTTACTGAGTCCAATGCACACCCAGCGAAACAAGAACCAGGTCACTGTGGAACTGCAGGTGGAACAGAATATGTGGTTAGAGCCATGTCCTGAAAAATATCAAACTCTGCTGATCTAGCTGAAAAGATATCACTCTCACTTCCCCATTAGTCATTACATCAATCCCCAGTGTGGTCACCACAAAACCAACATCGAGCTGCTGCTTGAGGACTGAGTCAATGAGAGCAGCTTCCAGTAACGGCTTGTGATAAAGTAGAAAGTGGAGAAACAGGAAGACCAGGGAACTCATTCAATAGTGCCTGGTTAAAGCCAGAAACTGTCCCAGTCGCCTCTCCCAACATGTGCCCAGTGGCGATTGTATCCTCTTCAATGGAGGCTGTTCACATGTTTACATTCGCCACAGCAGACGTCCACCCTTATCCTTCAATCCTCAACAACTCATTCCACCATCCCCTTCTATAAACCTATCACATTTCATCCCCTTAATCCTGTTAATCTCTCTGCTTCATCCTTACTCCATTCTTCATTTCTCAGACAGAGATTGCTGCCTCATGACTGACCCTCTGACAGTGCGGCACTCCCTCAGTACTGACCCTCTGACAGTATGGCACTCCCTCAGT